CTTTGTGTATACAGTGTGTAATTACCAGATTTATCTATCATTCTTTTGTCATTGATGTTGTCAGACGAGATCTCGGAATTTCTGTTCCTTGGCCCCTGACTTTAGCCGCAAATATAGAATTCACGAGCGCTGTCGCAATTTTAACGTTATAGTACTTCTACTATATGAAATCATTTTTGGTACAATCGTACAAAGCAACTCAGGTGTCTCGTTAACACAGACCTCGAAAACGCAGAACGCAGACCGCAGACCGCACAGCTCGAAAAACGTGTACACAGTGTGTAATTACAAGATTTATCTCTCTTCCCTTTGTTATCAAACGAGATCTCGGAATGCGTCGCGAAACTGAAACTAATTTCATTGACAGTGAGATAACAGACAAAAATAGACGTAAAGTAGGGTAAATTGAATAAACAAAATAGAACAACTAGAAGGAAAAACAGTTAAATTAATGAATGACAGGGTTGTATAAAAATTTATGTATTATTATATCTAATATTTTAAATGGTTATTTTTATCATTAAGTATTAACCACACCCACGACTTTTACCCACACCCACACCCACACCCACGACCCACGACTTGTACCCACGACCCACGACCCACGACCATTAGTCAAACTCGCTCTGTGGATACTTAAGTTTATTGATTGGTTTCAGGTTTCTTTTACGACGATTGATTAGCGCATTTATAGCTTGCCACTGTTTTCCGCATATCGCTTAAGTTATTCTTAAAAAGTTCATGATAATAACTTTTCTTGCTTAAGCGAATCAGACAACAATTTTTTTTTCGGTAATATTTATATTTCACAAAATCACCGGATTGTAATAATCTATTTTTTTTTAATTGGAATTCGTAATCCCTTGGTTATCCAAGGCTTGGAAAATCGTTTGATAATGCGTTTTGAAAAAGTTCTAACTGGTCCATGCTTGTTTACAATGTTATAAAAGGTTTGTAAAATGATGTGAAAATCTCATCTATCATTTTAAACCTGGTCTATCGATGATAGAATTCCAATTAGTTGTGGCAAGTTCATCATCAAAAGCGTCAGAACAGAGATGTGAGAAATCTCGTTTCTTGATTTTTCTTTGTTTGATTATATCGATTGTAGAAGCAAGAAATATAAAACTGCGAGAAGTGTCACTAAAATCGGTAATGAGGTTGCCACTTACAACAACCTGGTTGGGATTATTAACAAAAATATTATCGTTAGACTAGCGGAGGTTCTGTGAACACGCGTTGGCTTGTCAATCGTCGGAATGATAACAGTATTGTAAGGCCAATAGGAATTGATGACTATAGTGACAAGTTTCGATTCTTTGTAAACATAAATTAAAATCGTCTATCAGGCATAAATTCTTACCTCTAGCAGAGTATTTCTCTATTGCCTCCTCTATATGTTTAAGAAAATTCTCAGGCGAATTGTGTTGTCGATATACAATTCCACAAATCACATTTTTCTTTTTAGGAAAGCGAATTTCGATCCATAATGCTTGAAAAGATTCATTCGATGTTACTTCTAGGATTGTGTAACCAAGAAATTCGTCAATAAAAAGTCCAGCACCTCCAGACGCTAAGGGTGTTGGAACATGTTCAAAGACGTAGCCTGGAATGCTTGGTATGTCTACATTCTCGTTTGAATTAGTAATCTTTGTTTCTGTAACTCCTATTATATTAAAGTTGATGTTCAATTCATGTAAATAGCTATAGTGTGTTTTTAAAGTTTCAAGATTTCGTCGAAGGCTTCTTATATTATTATGAAATATAGTAAAACTGGATTCTAATGTATCTTTCGTAAGACGGTTCGTTTGCTGATATAGACTATGTGGAGAAAAGTAGCGACGTAAAATGCCTTGGTTTAACAAAATGTCATCAGCAGGTGGATTGTCATGAATTTTGTTAAGACTAAATAAATCCAAATCATATAAACCGGGAAGCTTTTCTATCTCACATTTGCTCAGGAGTTCAGAATTTAGTGAATTATTGAATTGGCCATGGGGGAAGGCCAAACTACCTCTCATTTGATATGGCAATTCTTTAAGTGGTGATTTGTTTATTTTTGTTGTTTTTTAACGTATAACCTAGATCTGTAATTGTTCGAAGTCATTTTAGGGAAATAAAGCAGAGATCAAAAGATATATCGTTAATATTCGAAAGTTCAGTTACTCATCTGTTTGGTGTGACGATCCATGGCTCTGTGGTGTTAGTATTATCAAGTCATCCATCGTTTTAATTTTAATTGGTCTCGAAGTTTCATTCTTGCGGAGGAAAACAACTCCATTCTTTGTCCAGCAGAATTTATAACCATGTTGGGTTTTGAAGTTGTTGGCACTATAAAGTAGCTCTTGCTGCTTTGGTGTTAAATGATCTTAGATTCCAATACGCTCAAAAGAAATGTCATTTGGTAGGCCAAGATCCTCGGAGCTAATGTAAATGATGCTCTCCTGGGAGGCACTGGTTCGAATCTCGAAATTTACATAAATTATAACTACCGTATTTACTCGAATAAGCGCGCCGCGGCACTTCTTTAATTTATTGCGCCACATGTGCGGCGCTAATTCGAGGGTGGCGCTAATTTAAACATTGTACCAGACAAATTGACTTTTTCATATTCTTATTAAACGGTACACTTTCTATCTGTCAATGCCCCTATGGACTGATGCTAAACCTAGAATTACGAGAGAAATTCATGCGGTGAAAAAACCCCGAGCGTTTCATGATAACGAGAGCGAAAATATCAGCGGTGAGAGCGAACACCTTTATCGTTGTGGAACAATTGTTTTATAGTGTTTTTCCTGGTTATACGGAATTCCTCGAATAAGCGCCGCATCGGGGGTGTGGCGCTTATTCGAGGGCGGCGCTCATTAACATTTTTTGTCCTAGATGCGGCGCTTATTCGAGTGAATACGGTATACTATCTTCATCGTATTCCAGGGCTAATCGGCCATACAGCTGAGGAGAAAAGCTCGGTATTTTCTGAGACCGAGCTTTTCTTTTGAGCTTTATAGCCGATTGGCCCTGAGACACGGTGAAGATTATATTTCACATAAATCTGAGAGGGCGTCGGGAGAGGAGTAACCCGAGAGGGAACGACGATCGTATTCTTGCTTTTCACCCACGTGACCTTTTGCTTGACAACGGTTGCTAACCGCCATGTTGGTGTCCCTCGACAGTAAACAAATTGATCGAGAAGAGGAGCTAGTGTGAGGAAACGTATGAGAGTTAACTATGGTTTTATGCATTGTGTGGGGATGTGGATCCTAAAGTGGCAAACATAAAGGTCTTAGATTCTTTGGGATACCCAAAATCATCACTAACCAAGGCGAAGAATACGAGGAATTGACTAGAAAGCGTAGGGAAAAGCGGATCAGTGCAGTAAGTCGTGGCGACACTGAAGAGAAGAATATCCTCGAGACAGAAAGAGTCTGCGGTCGTCATTTTCACCAAGGACAGCCTTCGAAGGACTTCGATCAATTCAATCCAGACTGGGTACCTTCCTTAAATTTATGAAAGAAAGAATATCGACGTCCAAAGGACTTTAAAGCTTCTGTAGAAAGATTTGAGAGATTTGAAAGGAGACGGAAGGCCGCCATTGAACAAAAAGAGCAAGAAGCTACAAAGAAGAGAAAACTTTTAGAACAACGCAGTGATCGCATCTGTGATTTAGACTTTGAATCTGGGGCTAGTACATCAGAAACTACAGAGGAAAAACTAACTGATGGAATGGATACAGATAACTTTTACGATGAGCAGGGAGCGAAGTGTGAAACTAAAGAGTTTGCTTATTCCTCCACACAAACAGAGCCCGAAGTGGCACCAACTGCTGCCAGTGAAGGGACTCAAACTGAAGAGTTTGAGTATTTATTTGAAAGACTTTGTGGCTATAAGGCACCTGGAAGAGATTTCTTCGACACCGACGACAAAGTGCGGTTTTATACGGGGCTGCCGTCCATCGAAGTGCTGATGAAAACATTTGAACATGTTGCACCTTCTGTGAACAGGAAAAGCCTAACTCCTGATAAATTTCAAGAGTTTGTAATTGTTCTGATGAAGCTACGGCTTAATGTCCCATTTCAAGACTTGGCCTACCGTTTTTCTATTTCTGTTAGTACAGCTTCAAGGATTTTTTCTTCCTGGATTCGAATTATGGATGCTAGGCTCTCCCCACTTGTGTACTGGCCAGAGAGGCACCAGCTGTGGCACACTATGCCTATGTGTTTCAGATATTCATTTGGAAACAAGGTGACAGTAATCATTGACTGTTTTGAGGTGTTCAT